CTCAGCATTACAGAGATTTCACAATGTGTGTTATTAGTATGATGCAAAGTGCAATAACAACAAAGTAGCATGAAGTGGGTTAGGAATGGCCTGGTAGATCCAGCAAATCAGAAATGGCTGGGGATCCCTCTACAGTTGTTAACATAGAAAGTGTAGGAACTGATTGGGCATCTATAATGGCCAGTCTTCGTGAACGAAGATTTGGGGAAAGGTCTTTTTACCTTTCCAGCCTGCGCAATGGATTTTTTAGGTGAGACACAGCCTGCGCTGAACTGAGCCCACCCTTTAATCCTAAGGTTCATCTGCCGGGGCCAAGCAAGCTTGGACAATGGCAGTGAGGTCCTCAGGACGTAGGTTTGTTTAGAGTGACCTTCTCATAGATGGATGGCCTCACAGGGCTAACGGGCTCCATCTGCCCGGGGGACTGGCTGGGATTCAAACCTGGGTCGCAGAGGTGAGAGTCCTGCATGCTAACCACTAGGCCACCAGGGCATCTAAGACAATTGGATTTTCCTGGTAAAATAATCACTGATGATATAATTAATAATTATGATATTCAGATGTTTGTCTTTATATCTCAAGCTTAATAACCCAGTAAAATGAAATGGATAGCACTGTTTATGGCTTTCAGAGTTACTGTTTCAGGTTTTCTGTAGGCTCATTAAGACCATACTGCATTGCATGTGCTTAGTTCACACTTTCAAGGTCAGCTTCTACGAAAAGGACTAAAGAGCATATCTGTGAAACCTCCTTGTATTATTCCCTCTTCCAAACTGCACTGGCTAGGATAACCTGCCATTGCACCTGCTGCTTCTCACTAAATTGTTGTTTTCACAAATAAATACAATGCACATGCTTTAAAGAAATCGTTCTTTTTATTTTCTTTATGCTAAAATACGTCTAGTGAAAAAAAAGTCCATGCTACAGCTAAGAACGTGTAATTGACAATCTTTTAATTTCTAATTCAAACTTTAATTAATGTAATAGAATTATGCAGCCCCACAGCATACGGATTGACAATATTCTCTTGTGTATACATTTTACAGATGTACAGTGGTCTTGGAAAGAGAAGATGGGGGATGAGACATTATACAGTGCAGCAACACAGAACCCTGTAACACTGTGAAATTATTGCTGTTACTTTGCAGCATGTTGGAGGAGTTGGTGCTAGTGCTTATTTCTTGTCCTTTTGGCCAAAATGTCACCAGCCACAATTGCTCCTGACAAAATTAATCCTATTGGGCCATATGTTTCCTAATGATCCACAGATGACAGTTTAATAGCAGCTGTTGTAGACCAACAGTATGAAAAATAAACAAAGAATGCATCATCATTAAAAAGCTGAAAGGTTCCTGTAATTACAGATCTCTATCAGAGTACAAAGCCTGGAGTATATTGAAAGCAAGATCTTTCCAATGTATGGGGAAAAATGATTTGTTGTGACATTTAAAGAAGGCATGCACACGTCAGTAACTCTGTAGTAGCTGTTTTAGGTGTGAAAATATCCGTTACATACATTCCTTTGTCCTAGCACTGTGTAAGAAAATATCCCTCTATACAGACAGAAATGACTGGTGAAATTACAATATTACTCAGCATTAAATTTGTACCTTATCAGCCTGACTCTGAACACCCTACACAAAGTTCCCACTGTTGTAGCATTTTTGATTTCTGACAAGGTTCTCATGAATTGTGCAAATTAGTCATGTGTAACTCAAGCTATCAATTTGCCATGAAACACACATTAATTTAATTGCTGATAATTGTATATTAAAGAGAAAATTTTCCCATTAGAAACATTTTCTTAAACCTTGTTTTCAACTTTGATAGTCATAGTCATCTTATGTTTTGAAATCTATTCAAGCACAAGATGAATTATAAAAAATGCACTCATTTTAGAATAAAGAAGCAGAAAAAAACATTTCTCTTTCTGCTAAGAAAAGGAACAAATAAAATTATATAAGATATGAAAAGGCATTGTAAGAAAAATTTTTTCAGTGTTTTGGAACTACATGATCTTTAAGGTGTCTTCCAACCCAAACAATTCTAAACTTAAATTGCAGAACATGGTATATGAGTTAATAGACCTTGTTCAATAAAGGCTGAACTTTGATAGTGAAAATTTAAGTTTTACTAGGTTGGAAAACCAGCTGAAGACATTTAGAGAAAATATCATTATCAAATATAACACAAAGTTCTAAATATTATAATATCTTCTACTTAGCATTTCTGCACACTCTTTTCCTTTTCTTTCGCTCTGAACTCACATCTACTAGGTATGATGATGATTTGTCAAAAAATATTAAAAATATCTCATGTTCTTTTTTGTCATGATGAATGTCTTTTTTGAGTTTATGCTACTTTGTCACTGTGAAGAGAGGATTTATAACTTTTCATTGCACTGAGCAATTTTTTTCCTTATTAGAGGCACCTGAGAGAAATGCAGGGCCAAACTTCCATCATGCCCTCAGCAAGGACTGTATTTTTGCATCTGCAATTTTTGAGGCACAGCTGAAATTATTTAAACACCTAACCATTTGATTTACAGATGTAATCAGGTACATCTATATACAAGTGATTGTAACTGCAGGTGTTAGATTGGGGACTGTCTTTTGAAATTCTTCCTCAAAATGTGCAAAATAATTATCTTCAAATTATTTATGCGGGTTCATTAAACAAGTGAGCTTCGATCCTTGTATTCTCCCTGTGTGTGAAGCTGTTTAAATCCTTAGGTAGCCTTCCTGTGATCTCTGCTCTCATTGCCTTCCCTGCTCCACTTTTTCTTATATCAAGTATGAATACATCATCTTTTCCTCTCGCACAAGTGCAACATTTATTCTGTGTAGGCTGTGCACTCGTTTCAGTTGCAGACTTCCATGGGCTGGTCCCTTTGTTTTATATACAGAACCCAGGAACAAAATTAGACACTCATGTAAAGATTTTGTAAGCCGCTCACTCACTCCCTTCCTCTGATCCAGACTTCAGCTGCATCAGTAAAGCAATTCTCACCAACACTGAAGGCTTAGCTACTGAGCATGATGGCCACAATCTGGCTCCACATTTTATTATTGCATCTAACAGTATGTTTTTCCCTTCTGCCCTTTTAGCTGTTCTTTACCTGCACTTGTAGGAAGATAATCAACACAGATGAAACAAAAAGGTAATGGAAAACCTTGTTTTTCAAATGTTTTGCAGGAGACAAAATGGCATTACTGGGTCACACAACACAGCACACAGACAGCTAATGTCACCTTACCCATATCTGTAAATTTATGTACTAACAATTTATAAATTAATAAAAAACAACAGGCAGATCATGTGTAACAATCTGTACTCTGCACTCTTACAGTAATTATAGAAATCTTCACCTGCTGTCCCTCAGCCCTCTCCTAATATTTCTGTGTTGTCCAGATTGCAGAAGGGCTGTTACAGTGACACATTGTCCCAGTAAGAACTATATCAATGGCCACTGCAGGCACTGTTCCTGCCCAAGCCTGAGTGTTTCACTGTGCGTGTGGAAAACTCTCTGACCTGTAGAGTAAAAAAACCTACAACACTGAAGACTGCGTTTTTTATGGACTCCACCAAATGCTGTACATTTTGATTATATAAACTATTCCAAAAACTGAAGCATAACAAAGAAGATTTTAGAATTCCATTTAATTATCTTTGGTAATAATTTTTTTCTTTCCCTTTTACATGAATTTTATCTCCCTCCATTAAGATAATAGAAAATATAACCCTCTTCTGCAAAAATGGTGTCTAGTTCATTCAATTTAGCCTGGCAGTTTTCCAGATCGTTAAAGATATTTTTTGGTATTAAATATTGGCAATGACACAGTCATCTCTTTACTATGTCTAGATGAAAGTTAGGAGTATATGTCATATGTTTTTCTTTCATTACTCCCTTACAGGATGCATGTTGGTAACATTAATTAAAAGGAATTAAAATGCTATTCTTACTTGCCTGGATTCCTGTGAGGGCGAAGAAAAGTTTGGCCCAAGCAATACTGAAAAACTAGCAGAAAATAATAATAATAATAACTAAAAAAAAGAAAACCACCAAAAAAACCCAAACAAAATCCCACAGAAAACAAACAAACAAAAAAACCCACAAAACAAAAACCCAAAGAAACAAAAAAAACCCACATTACATTCAACCAAGCAAAAATGCAAACTAATTAGTCAGGTTAGCTGGAGCAGGGTAGCAAGAATTAAAATCCTCCAGAAAAGGAACATCTTGATGTTACCAATGCCAGGAGAGCTTAAGCAGTGCGTATTAGTGAGGAGCTAGGCACTAAAAGTTGAATCTATTCAGGGCTTCAGAGCATCTGCTAATCTCCATTGAGAAAGGAGTGTCTTATTCTGCGAGGAGAAATGGCAGCTCTAGATGGGGCAAAGCTCTGGACACACAAAGTATATGAAGTAACATTTATTACCCATCGGGTTTTAACATGTCCTGCTGCTGATTCCTGAATCATACCACAGGTCAGAAACAGGATAATTAGAAAGATTTCTACTGACATCAGCAGGCCTTGGGCCAGGCTCCAAGCCAAGTCTTAGTGTATAACTGATTATGGCAAACAGACAAGGACTTCACATCAAGCTACAGATGTTATCTGGAAGGTAAATGTAGTCTGTTTATTATGATTCCACACAGAAATCTGCAAACATATTTGTGCTTCTTAATATCACAAGATAAGCATAATTACAAAGGAAATTAGTGTAGAATGACAAATGTTGCTCGGGGGTTAGTTTTCATTAACGTGTAGAGATTTTCTAGGTTATTGCTGTGGGAGAGAATGATGCCAAATGAGACATTAAAAGGGTGCAAATGCCAAAATTGTCTAACACCGTTTTTCTTAATAATATAAAGAATAATTACCTGCAAAAAACACCTGAAGATAAACTTTATGGTGGAAAATTAATGTTTTTAGGAATCAGGAATTCCTTACTGGAAACCTCTAGCTACCCTTTATTTCAGCTATTAAAATTATCTTGGAGAAAATTTGATGTTCTCTGTGGCTATAGAAAATTCTGGAATGAAACAAAAAAAAACAGATGAGAACCCCCAGAAATTAATTAGTGCCTTTCATCCTTCTCCACATGGCATGCTGTATTGAAAGGAATCGTGATCCCAATGCCACCAACCACTCATATGTGGACAGCAATGTGATTTTCTGTGGATTCAATCTTTCCAGTGTGTACAGTTCTTGGTACTTCCTATTGTGAAATGGAGGTGTTTTTAAGTCTCTAAAACTCCACACAATTAACTTTTATAATTTGGTAAGAAATAGAATAGGTCTTTTCCAAAGGTCTCATTGTCAGTCATCATGACTTTCAGAAATTTTATCCCTCACTAAGATTTATAGAGCAAGATAAAGCACGTCAGGGATAAATTAGTACTACAGAAACTTCCTTCTCTTAGATTAACATGTAAAGTTTTTTTTTATATTACCAACACCTTTGGTTGCCAACCCTTAAACAAGTCAACATGCCATCCTTCCCTCCTGCAGGCTGTTCCTCTCCCTTTCGCTTCCAAAGAAACAGAACTCCTAGCAGAGCTGTAAAAAGACAACATAAGTCTCTCTTCATCATCTGCAGCATGAAAGAAACAAGCCCTTGATTATTTCTGGCTTTTGGAAACACAGGAGGTACACATCAGCCTATGAAATGGCTGCAACATGCAGCAAGGGTAAAAAACTCTTTAGAGCTGTTGTGTCTTAGCAGGCTGCAACACAGCCTTGGCATGTGCCAAGGGAGGAGACAGAGGGAGCTGCCTGGGACACATGTAATGTTTACCTTCCTGACACATAAAAATTTTTCCTGGGCCTGTCATCATATCTGTTGAATACTTGCCTGGAGGAAACCAACTGGTTTGCACTGCTTCTGTAAGAACAGTAACACCAGTTTCCCTGTCAGCATCACTGGGACAAAACAGTCCTACTCTCCATACATGGAACTGGGTCTCAACCTGCTAAATAAGCTTTAGACCGAAATAGAGTGGATAGTGCTGCATCCATGTAGGAGACAGTAGATGGAGTTAGGGAGAAGAAGGAAGAAGTAGAATGAGACATTTGCATGAAAAAATCTTCCTGGAAGAAGGTGTCTTCATAAAGAAGCCTAGGAAGTAACGACTCCTTTGTGGATATCAGAAAGCACAGGGAGGATGCTTCAAATGTCTGAATTGCCATGCAAAATGCATATGGCTACACTCCCCCTCAAACAGTCCTAGTCAGGACAAACAGACAGTATGATGCTTACAAGCATGCAACTACACTCCACCACGTTTGACAGTATTATAGGAACTCATGCACATATTTAATGACTGACACAGTACAGTGTTGCCAGCACTGACCACATTTTCCATTCCTAAGGGAAAGGTGTTGTGGCTAAGCACCAGGGTTCTTGTGAGACCAAGCAGCACATCTGTCCTACTGTTAAAAGTACTGGTGAAAATATAATTCCTTTCTTTCAGTGTGTCTGAGGAAACTGTTTATTTGGTTATATGACAGACACAGTTACATCTTTCTCCGCCAGCATTTCAAATCAGATCTAAAGAACCACTTCAAAAAATAAAATGAAGATTAAAAAGGACCTGGTTCTCCGGAAACAACCAGGTATCTAGATGCTTTTCTTTTGTTCATAGTGGAAGAGAGTCAAAGAAGTGTTTTGCTGAGCATTCAGGCAAAAAGGGAAAGAAGGTAGGATTTTCTGATGGACAAATGTATGTGTTTCAGCTTGGAGTGGCCGCAGGGAGAATTCCTCTCTGCTTTTCAGTGAATGACTGATCTGTCTGTGACAGGAAAGTTAGATGTAAGAGGCAAATATTTGTGACATAGTGCAAAAGAATTGTTTGGATTCCTTTTCCCTTACAAAACTTTCAACTAGGAATGCACCCTTTGAGTTACAGTGCAGGATAAGAACTAGCCACCTTGAAGAGCTGCCAGAGAAGTAGTTCTTCAGTGTGAGAAGAAATGTGTGGATCTTTTATTTCAAATTGAATTTAGAGATCAATCTTTTTTAGACCAAATACCTGGTTGTCAATGAAACTCACATATGGCTCCAGAGGAGATTTTCTTTTTTCAATGTATTTCTTTTTTCACCTAGATCTGACAGTTTTGATGACACCTAATCAAGTAAAAAGGAAATTTGAAAAAATAGAGGGTAGAGAAAATGGTAAAGGCAGTTACTGTTTGGTGGACGTACAGAGAGATATAACCATTTGCTACCAAAAGAAAATGGTTCAGCAAAGTTAAAAAGCACTGGAAGCAACACTGATGGCAATGTCATTGCTGAAAATGAAAATGGTTATGATTTTTATTGGCCTGAAGAAGAATTGCATGGTAATAGTACTGCAGCTGGTGAATCTCAAAAGGCAGCTAAGGAAAAAAAGCATGAGATGGTGCCAAATGACCTTCCTGGCTGCCATGGTATAGTTGGTTACAGTGGGGATGCACTTACCAAGAGACTTCCCTATGGGATGCTTTGCTTGGCCCTTCAGACTTACGGCTCTGGAAAAGGACACAAATCCATTCAATTTAGTTTTTAACAGTGTAAACATTATTTTTTCTCCCTTTTCCCCTCCATTTCCCTTAGATGTTTATGGTCCCTGATTGCAGTGGGATCATAGCACAGACAGAAATACAAGCTGAGGATGCCACTGGCAATGGGCAGCTGCATGGTGGTCTGGTTGACAGTGCTCCATCTCTTACCAGATGTCAGCTCTGGTAAGATCTGCTGGGAGCAAACCTCTTCTTTCCTAAGTGCCTGCCGTCCTTGCTGCCATTTGCTTGCTGGTGCATGGAGACAGATCACTTGTGCAGGCAGGGCCTGTCTTCCTCTCCATCTGTTTGCACACTGAGAAACAGGAGGAGAGCTTGATTTCAGTCTAATCTGACTTTACAGCACTCCGTCACTTTAGATAACCCACTGGAAGTGTCTTTTCCATTGCAACTGGCATGCACCAATAAAGCGTGGAATTCCGTAGATTTTTGCTCATCGTGATGTAAGCTTGGACACAAAGGGATAGCAAAACAGAGACAATATTGAATATTTCCATGTTTTATTTCTCTATTTTACCTCAATTGGAAATAAAAGACTTCTGCATTTTAAAGCTGTTTGTTCATTGCAAAAATCATGGAAAGGGCTGATGGAAACAATTGTTAGAGAAAGATTTTCTGTTGGGAAAATAGAGGCAATGTAAATCAATGTATCTTCAGAGAAAGATCAATTTTTATGGAATTTTCCCATCATGATAATCTAAATTAAATACTTTATGTTTACGTTAATTTCTGCATCCAGTTCCACCAGCATTGTGCATGATAGCACTTGCAGCCAGAAAATACTCTTCTTTATTCTCCCCAATGTGCGAAGCTTTTTGTTTGATCTGCATCTCCCTCATGCACCAAAGTTTCCCTTTGATGATGACTTGATCTGATGAATCCCTGGAATTTCAACTGAACTCAGAAATGGGAATGGGAGAGAGGAAACCAAGAACCACATTGCAAATAGGCATTGAAGAAACCCAGGCATAGTGATATCAAGGTCAAGCTGAGCTGGATGCACTGCTGTTGCCAGTTCCCTTTGATTTTAAGTAATTGAATTCTGAAAAAGCTCTTAAATTTTTGATTACTTGTTCTGAATTTGGTTTGGATTTAGGTATAGTCATATTTTGCTTAGATGTATTTTCCCACTGAGAGGACTCAACAAAATAACTGAGACGGAGAATAAGGTCTGTAAATGGAATGGCGAGAAGGGCAGGAAACTCAGCATGGCAAAGCCCTGATCAAGCACAGAAGGTCATAGAAAGAAAAAGAAAACATGAAAGTACAGAACTTGGTTGGTTTCAGTAGAAACTTAATTGCAATTGTCTTTCAAAATGTGTCACACTTTGAAGGGGTTTATGTAGATTCAGCCTACCAGCACCATTGTCCCTCCTGGGGGAAAGCTTCTCACACCAATGTTTGTGACACCAGCTCAGTGGTGTCAGATTAGACACAGCTACTGAAATCCTCTATCAACTGATCCTAGGGTGGGTCTCCTTAAGGGTTCATCATGGATGAGGAAGGAGACCTTGGGTGTAAAAGCATCATCACTTTCAGGAGCTATGCAGACAACTTTTCTGGCAAAAGAGGTGGGACAAACCATGTCTGAAAAGGTGCAATCCTCATGGTGTGTCATGACCATCTAATTACCTCCGTGGTTCTACACCATCTAAATGAGCTAGTACCTGCTTGGAGGCTGAGGCTGCCAGAGTGAAATACAGGCTGCCAGTGATTTTCAGGCAAGGAGATTGCTTCTACATAGGGAAAATCTGTACTTCTTTTCCTCTGTCATAATATAATCTCTCTGCCATAAATAATCTCTCTGCCATAATTATGAATAATTCCTAATTTATTCTCTCTTATACTACATATCTCTCTAATACATTGCTTATTTAAACTCTAGTTTTATGATGTGTTTTTCCTCTGTTGTAATTAGAATGCGACAAAGCTATGCAACAAAGTGAAGAAACAGGCCTTAACTGAAGAAAACTTGCAAAGGCTGCTTTATGATAAAGACAGTTTGAGAAGCGATAAAATAATAATGCAAGTTCTTTCTTTTTCAACAGGCCAGATTTACCAGTACACCCCAGACATATCGCTCCTCGCCAGCCACAGAAAACAGCTGTAAACCTGGATTAACCAGGCTGTTAAATTGAGTTTACAGCTGCTTTGCATCACTAGAATGGCTCAAAGCAGGCAGCACGTACCAGTGAATATGGGCATAATTGTACACTAATGAACGATGAAGTAGTTTAGGATGCAGTATTCACTTTGGCAGAATGAAAAAGAAATCTTTATAGAGAGCAGATATGTTAGAATTTATCCTGGCTTTGCTCAAGGGGAAAAATTCATCCTCTTTTATTCTGAATAGATTATAATTAAGAAAAGCATCAGAGACAAATTATTCAAGGTTAGAAATTTAAAAGAGCTTTAAGAATACATCCACTCTTTCCAGATCTGTTAGTGCCTGCTCAGGCTGGAGTTACAACAAGAGAAACTCATAGTTTAATTATAAAATAATGGTCAAAAACCTGCTTAAATAAGCATGTGTTTCCATTAGGGAAGAAAAATCACTACAGAAAACAAGATTAAAAGTTAATGTCGCAAATCTCATTGTGTATAACTTCATTAATGCTGGATAACTACTGTATAATTAGCAAGGTGTTCATTGTAGAAATCTGTTAAAACAGTTGAAATGAGGTCTACCTAGATGTCTGCTTAGTCTGTAGTTACCTTAAAAAGAATGAGGCTCAGATTATTTTTCAGTGCTTTAACACATTTTTTTCTTCTGTAAATAAAGCTTACAGCCTTAAGACATTTGCCTTGCTGGAAATACAACAGCCTCTGATATAATTTAACAAACACAGAAAGCATAAAATCTCCAGACGACTGGTTCTCATTTGTGTATGCAATTAATCATGCTTAAATTACAGGCAAAAGCTGGGTCAGGAGAGCCCATGGACAGAGTAGAACGTTTTCCTCTTCATGCTCCCAGGCATTGCACCAACAGTAGCGCGAGACATGATGGAGATCTGGGCCCTCCATAATGAAGACTCATGCATCACTCATCCCTCCAGGTGACTCCTGAAGCCAAGAGAAACCTGATCTTCCAACTTGACTTACCTTTGCAGTTCTGTCTTTCAAAATTGATTGCCAAACCATAGTTTCCAGTTAAGCAGAATTGAGCCTATTTCACCTGGGCTAGCCACGGACTGGCTGGGGGTACATTCATAGAGCCACAGGCAGGCAGAGCCCACATCCACACAGACACCTAAGGCTGTGTATGAGCCCATATGCCTCCTCTCAGGGGGCTGGTGATTAGCTTAGACTAAAGGCTGTGCTCACCACAGATATATGGCTTCACCTTCACTTCCAAAGAGCATCCAGCTGGCCCAGAGCATGAGCAAGGAGATGATGTTTTCCTGCAAAATACCATGTAAAATACTAGAAAAATGTTACATTCATTTTGAAAATACATTATCCCAAGAGGGATAAAAAAATATCAGTTCAAAGAAAAAGCCAGGAAAATCTGGTCTTCAGGCTGCAAGATATTTAACCTTTTTCATTCCTGAGTGCTGAGCATCCCACATACTTTCAGTGATAATAGTAACAGCAATAACAATAATAAGAGGAAATCAAAATCTGAAACAAAAGGTAGAGCTGAAGACATAATACTTAGGAGTTATTCTAAAAACTATGCACCTAAAAGGTACAATTTAGGAAATCATACTTAACCAGCAGGAATAGAAAAAAAGATGAAATCCTCATGAAAAAAAGGGAAAAAACTATTCAGAAAAGCCTTTTGTTGCTGAAACTACAGAAGCAAATGATGAATCAGATTGTGGCATGTCATTAGGAGGAAATGGCTCTTCCCTATGAAAATGGCTTTTAGCCAACTCAAAAATAAAATTATCAGTTGCATTTCATGGGGATTTCACTTCTTGGGAAAAATAACACACTTACAAAAAATACATTTCCTGGGCCAATATAAAACCTTTTAATAAAATTAACTATTCAAACAAGAAAAAAGCTTGTGGTCACATTCATAAAAGATAATATTCAAATGATATTAAAATAATAATAGAAGATAGTTCTTTAAAGATGCTCACTACTACTACTTCCCTCTTTTATGCAACCCAAGGCATACTTTATAATATTAAATCCCATCAAGTCCAAATGGAAAGATACTGCTAACAAACATATGCAATTCTTTGACTGCAAATAATATTTTCTTGGTCAAGAAGTCTTCTAATCCGTATCCATATAGCTGCTTGTCCTTAAAGACCAGACTCTCAGATGGCATAAAATTTTTCACCACCTTGATCTCAAAGGAACAAGCCCAGATTACTTCCAGGGAGGATCTGGAGTCTCATTTATTGTGACTATCTGTCTCTTCTAGTGCTTTATTTCTGCCTGCATGGATGAGCAGATTAACTGGGCATCTCTGTCTGGGAGGATAAATACACTTGTATCTGACATCTCTGACGAAGGGTGGGTGTTTTTCTGGACACCTGCTCCCAGAGACTGAATTAGTTTATAGAGGAGTCTTCTCGTTCTCATTTAGGGAACAGTTAACTCTTGCATCAGACTGCAGGAGTTTTGGAAATTTGGCACTGAAATCTTTCAGGCTCTGTGTCTCTGTTCGGGTCAGGATTGCTCAAGGTGAACCTTACACTGATTTAAAATAACTTGGAAGACACTAACTATGAGTATGCAGGACAACAATCAACTATTCCATCCCTGGGTATAGGGAGAAATTTCAACTTTAAAGAAGTTTTGCATGTATCTGTCACATGTGAGTGTAAATCCTTACACTTATCTCTGAAATGTCTGAAAATGGTCACAGGATAACCAATAAGATCTGGTACCACATTTCATGTGTTATAACTGACACAAAAAAAAAAAAAGTTGGTGTCCCACTCTTCTGTACATCAAAAATGGGAGGATGTAAACAACAAACCGGGTGAGACTCCTCTGGAAGAAGTGCTAGCGATCAGCCAAACATGGACTAATTATAGGCAAATTGGAAAGCCCACGTGAGCCCAGGAACACACCAGACCTACTGGCAAGAGAAAGTCCTATCAGATTCCTAAGAACATAACCTTTCTCAAGAAGAAAAACAAAAAAAAATCATTACCACAGATTTAATTCAAAGCACTGATAGAAAATCTACTACAACCAG